CCTCCCTTTCATGTCTCTGCACTTCCTTCTCCTTCCCTTTTTTAAAATTTATTATTTAAGGAATTCACACTTCATGAGTATCCTTTAGAAATATAGTGATTCTTCCCACCACACCCACACTCCCAACCACACTCCCTCTCTCCTCCTCTTCCTTTCCCCTGGCCAGTCCCATTCTGCATTAAGGTCCATTTTCAACTACGTTTGTACAATGATTTTACCATGATCTATTTTCAGTTTATTTTATACTCAGAAGATTAACCCTACACTAAGAATCCAATAAGTAGTAAGAAGAACAAAAGCTCTGTTTTTCAACAATAGATACAAAGGCTGTAAACAATCATTGAATCTCAAAATGTGAATTTCACTACTTTTTTACTCTATTAGTTACCACAGATCAGGAAAAACATATGGCATTTGCCTTTCTGGGACTGGATTATTTAGTGGTTATAGTGGTTATAGTGGCTTCTAGTTTCATCCAGTTTGTTTCAAAAGACAAGGTTTTATTCTTTTTTAAATCTAAGTCAGATTATATACTGTATATGTACCCCAATTTCTTAATACAGTCATTAATTGAGGACATCTGGGTTGATTCCATATCTTGGTTGTTGTGTTTCAGTAAACATGGACTATTCATATGCTAATTTCATTTCATTTGGGTAAATTCTCAGGGCTAGGATTGCTAGGTCATGTGGTAGATCTATTTTCAATTTTGTATCATTGTTTTTTGAATCTCAGTTCTGCTTCTTGTTTTCTTTTTTATTTTTAAGATTTATTATGAATTTGAAAGGCAGAGAGAGAGGTCTTCCATCTGCTAGTTCACTCCCACAGATGCCTACAATGGCTGGAGATGTGCTGATCTGAATCCAGAAGCCAGGAGCATCTTCTGGGTCCCCAATGTGGGTGCAGTGGACCAAGGATTTGGATCATCTTCCACTGTTTTCCCAGGCCACAGCAGAGAGCTGGATCAGAAAACAAGCAGCCAGGACTCTTACTGGTGCCCATATGGGGTGCTGGCATTGCAGGCGACAGCTTTTACCCACTACAGCCCAGTGCTGGCCCCATTTCATAAGTTTTGCATGTTGTAGTGTCATCTTCATTCATTTCCAGGAATTCTTTGGTTTCCCATTTGATTGCTTCTGTGAATCACTGTTCATCATTCAATATGTGTTATTCAGTCTCCATATTTTGCATATTTCTAGAGATTCTTACATTCTAAATCTCTAGCTTTATCTCATTGTGGTCAGAAAGGACACATGGTATGATTTCAATAATTTGGGTTTGCTGAGACTTGCTTTATGGCCTAGCATATGGTCTATCCTAGAGAAGGTTCCACATAGTGATGAAAATAATGTGTATTCTGCAACTGTGAGATATTCAGTAGATATCTGTTCAGTCCATTTGATCCACAGGTTTTTTTTTAAGATTTATTTATTTGAAAGTCAGGATTACACACAGAGAGAGGAGAGGCAGAGGGAGAGAAGTCTTCCATCTGATGGTTCACTCCCCAATTGGCTGCAATGGTCAGAGCTGTGCCAATCTGAAGCCAGGAGCCAGGAGCTTCTGCTGGGTGCAGGGGCCCAAGGACTTGGGCCATCTTCTACTGCTATCCCAGGCCACAGAAGAGAGCTGGATTGGAAGAGGAGCAGCTGGGACTAGAACTGGCACCCATATGGGATGCTGGCACTTCATGCCGGGTGTTAACCTGCTGCACAGCACTGGCCCTGGCCCATAGTGTTGATTAGCTCTGATATTTCTTTGTTGGTTTTCTCAAGTTGATCAGTCGATTGATGAAACTAGATGTTGAAGTCCTCCATTATTGGACTCCATGTTTCCCTTTATGTCAATTAAAAATTATTTTAAATAGCCTGGTGCTCTGGCATTGGTGTATATATTGGATGTTTATTATATCCATGTCTTCCTGTTAAATTGATCCCTTAATTATTGCATAGTACCCTTCTTTGTGTCTTTAAAGAGAGTTACACACAAAGAGAAGGAAAGGTACAGAGAGAGAGGTTGTCCATCTGCTGGTTCACTCCCCAGTTGGCCTCAACAGCTACAGCTGAGCCATTCTGAAGCCAGGAGCTTCTTCCAGGTCTCCCACACAGGTGCAGGGGTCCAAGGACTTGAACCATCTTCTGCTGCTTTTTCAGGCCCATAGCAGAGAGCTGGATTAGAAATGGAACAGCCAAGACTTGAACTGACACCCATATGGGATGCTAGAACTGCAGATGGTGGTTTTACCCACTATGCCACAGCACCAGCCCCTGATGACATATTCTTTCAATTTCTGTTTGTTATGGAGAGTTTTTTTTTTTCACCTTCATTCATAAATGAGAGCTTTGCAGGACATAGTATTCAGGGGTGACAATCTCTGCATTCTCTCCTAGCCTGTAGAGTTTCTGATGAGAAATCATCTGTGTCTAATTGGATATGTTTCTGAAGGTAATCATGTTTCTCTTGTGTACATTTTATATTTTTATTAATGCTTTTACTGTTGAAAGTTTGACTGCAAAGTATCATGGTGAAATCTTTTTAGGTCATGTGTCTTAGGAGTTCTGTGTGCTTCTGTACATGCGTGTCCCTTTCTTTCTCCGGTTAGGGGACTTTTCCATAATTACTTCACTGAATACACCTTCCAATGTAATCTCTCTTTCCATACTTTCAGAAAATCCAAAGATCTATTTATGTTGGGTCATTTGATAGTATCCCAATCAAAAAGTTTTTAACTTACAATTTCATCCTTTTCTCTCATCCATGACATTTCCTAAGATTTACCTTCCCACTCAGATACTTTTTATTCTGCTTTACATGTATGTTGTTAAGAATTCCACTGTATTTTTTATTTGACATTAACTTCTCTAGTTATAATATTTTCTTTGGTTTCTCTCTAAATCTCTATTTCACAGATATGTTTTTCTTCCAAGTTATATATGGATTTCTTTAATTCATTGGATTTCACATTTCATCCACTGCATAAAAAAATCAGAAGTGAATTTCTATTCCTTTTTAAACATATCCCCAATGTTTTCCCTTGGATATCCAGTTTCATGCTTTGGAAATCTAGGAATATATAATATTACTGTTGACTAAAATTCCTGTACAACTTTTTCTGATACAATGATTCCTCTCCCTTTCAAGAATTGTTTTAAAACTTTACAATATTGTTTAGTCTTGATCTTTAAATCCTACCCCATTACTCTGGGTAAAGATAAACTCCATTCACAAAAGTTATGGTCATGACTGCATGTTTGGGCAGCCTTCTTCTCCATTAAACTTTTCATTTTCATTTGTTTGAGGTGATCCTTCCTCGTCAGGTCCCTGTTCAGGTGCCCCTTGCTGTGAACCATGCAGCAAATATGCAGGTTGAAGAGGTGATGGTGTGCAATGAAAGGAAAATAAAGATTATAGAACAGTAGGGGCCAGCAGAACTCTCTCCAAGCAAGGAGCAGGAACTTCTCTCTGTCTTGCCCTGTGGCTTTTATTTTTGCCCTTTTTGTTTTAAATTATTTGACAGGTAGAGTTACAGACAGTGAGAGAGAGAGAGACAGAGAGAAAGGTATTCCTTCCATTGGTTCACCCCCCAAATGGCTGCTATGGCTGGTGCTGTGCTGATCCAAAGCCAGGAGCCAGGTGCTTCTTCCTGGTCTCCCATGCAGGTGCAGGTGCCCAAGCACTTGGGCCATCCACCACTGCCTTCCTGGGCCACAAAGAGAGCTGGACTGGAAGAGGAACAACTGGGACTAGAACCCAGTGCCCATATGGATGCCAGCACTGCAGGCAGAGGATTAACCAAGTGAACCATGGTGCTGGCCCTATTTCTGCCAGATACCCTTGGTGACACCAGGACAAGCCTCTGCTTAACTAAAAACAGCATTCTCTACATGCAGATCTTGACCAGATATCATGTGATCACCACCTGACCCAGAAAGAGGAAGAGAATAGAACATTTGAGTAAAAAATTTCCTTGAACTACATCCCTGGAGGTGAGTGGGCCATGCCCCACTACTGGCTTTCCAAGCTGCAATGTCCCAGATTAGACTGTTCACATAACTCCCAGCTTCATTCTGCTGCATTCCTCAAATGGCTGCAGTGATATTTTCCACCTGGCCTCTGGCAATGTCTCTCTTTGGTCTCTTCCCCTCTAAATAGCCATTTAGTCCTTCCCCATTTGCCTCCAGTGGAGTCTTCTTTGCACTTCAGAGTGCAAATATCTTTAAGTAACTACCACATTCTATTGAAGCACCCTGTGCCTGAGGGAGTGAGTACTCATTTTCATGTAAAAATAATAATTATTCTAATTGTTGCAGGATACATTATGATGCTTATGAACATAGTTTATAAACAAGTTTACAAAAGTAGCACATAAAATTTTATTGGGTCAAGTATATAAATATTAATTATCAGTTCCTTGGACAATTTTTTAAAAGATTTATTTATTTATTTGAGAGGTAGAGTTACAGAGAGAGGGAGAGATGAGGAGACAGGTTTTCTATCCACTGGTTCACTCCCTAAATGGTTACAATGGCTGGAGCTGGGTCAATATAGAAATGAGGAACTAGAAGCTTCTTCCGGGTCTTCCACATGGGTGCAGGGGCCCAAGCACTTGGACCATCCTCTACTGCTTTCCCAGGCCAACACCAGAGAGCTGGAAAAGAAATGGAGCATCCAGGACTCCACCCGGCACCCATACAGAGTTCCAGTGCTAACAGCAGAGGCTTGACCTACTACATCATAGTGCCAGGCCCTCCTTGAACACTTTCACTGTCTTCATCTCATCATAGCCCAGGACCACTCACCTAGATGTAGTGGAGTTTTTTTTTTTCCCCAGTACCTGGCCTGTGTTCTTTGCTATTTACCACTATTCTTGTTGCATCTTAACATAAACACATTCTTGCATAAGATGTCACCATCTTTGGTGTTTCAATGAACAGTAATCAGATAATAGAGACAAATATATTGCTTTAAATTTTGAAAAAGGATTTATATTACTTGAACCATAATTAAGGAGAGATCTTCAATCCATTGGTTAACTACTCCAATGACTACAATTGCCAGCTCTGGGCCAGACCAAAGCCAGGAACCTAAAGCTCCAACTGTGTCTCTCACATGGGTGGTAGGGTCCGAAATACTTGCAACAGCTCCTGCTCCTTTCCCAGGCACATTAGCAGGAAGCCAGATTGGAAGTATAACAGCCATAACTCTAAACATTGACCTTAAGGGATGCCAGCATCACAGGAAGCAACTTAACCCATTGAGACAAAACATTGCTCCCTCCCCAAATCTATTTTAAAGGAATTTTCTTTTCACCTTGGTCAATCTTGAGCATGTGTCTTTTTTAGTTCATCTGGCATGCTAGTTTTGTTTTGCATTTATACTTATGTTTACTGATTACCATGTGAACAGCTTTCAGAATCATTAGAAGAAACCCCAGTTCTAGAATATTAAGGGAAACTCTATTGTGATTTTGGAATTTTAAAATTATTTTAAGGGTAGGGTAGTTTCATTGTGATTTTGCTCTCTGTTGCCATATAGATTACAGAGGAAACTGTTATATATAAGTAGCAAATAAGACACTCAGAAAATCCACTTCCAGTCTTTGTGATTAGTGATCCAGGACTGATATGTTGAAGATGAATGTGCTGTTACAGGTGTTGGTGTCATTTGAAGACCTGGCTGTGGACTTCACCAAGGAGGAATGGCAGAACATGAATCATTCTCAGAGGACCCTATACAGGGATGTGATGCTAGAAATCTATAGCATCCTACTGTCCTTGGGTAAGTAAAAACCAGCTTGTACCCAGGTAGAATTATTTTTTTCTCAGTTGAGAATTCAACAATTTATAAGGTTTCATATCTGGTTGGTATAGGATTTCAGGCCGTGAAAAATTTTTCCCTCTAGAAAGCAATTCAACTTGGCCTTTTTCTGGCACTGCTTCTGGGCCCAAGCTGTTGTCCCTCAAAACCCAAAGTTAGTGGTTTCACAAAGTCAAACATGATTTCCTATTAAAAGGGCACTGCATAAACAAGCCTGAGGTGATCTTCAAGTTGGAACAAGGAGCAGAACCATGGATGGTGGAAAAACCCCTGAACCAGAGCCTTTCAAGTAAGTGAGCACATGTTGGTCAGGGTGACTGGGACAGAAAGCTCAGCAGATGCTGACTGCAGCATTACTCACTAACTTTTCCTAAATCCCAGAATTTCTGCCAGCTGGTATCATACATGCAACAAAGGCATTCTACAGCCTCCAAGTAAGGCTGCCTTGCAAATATCCATCTAGCTGCTTTCCTGCTCTTGCTGAATATTTTCTTAGATTAACCAAAATGCAAGTGTTTTCTGGCTTTTATAAAGCTGTTTTCTCAGTTTGATACATCCCCTGAATTCTAACTTTTCTTTCTTCCTACCTTCAAAGCCTGTTCTGTGACATTTATTCAATTATTTATTCATTCTTTCAGTGCTTATTAATTGGCCAGCTCATAGACAATGTTTACTACTTGCTGAAATTGAATTTCCACTTCTGGCTTTGAACAGACACAGGCCTTGTTATTGCTCAAATTTGTGGATGAAACGAGTGAATGGGAGCTCTCTCGTTGTCTCTGTCAAATAAATAAGAAAATAATAGGTTTTGCAAATATTTAAAAGGTGAAATGGCTCTGTCCTTATTCTTTCTGGCTCTCATTCTCTCATTCTCTGATCCATAAGTAAATAAAAAAAGAGCCTTTGTATTGTGACATCAGAAATCACGATACTAAGCATGACCTTACATAGGAACATGAAAATTGGTGGTCCTATGCTCACCAGGAGATTGACATCTAAGGACAAGTGTACCTGTGAATTTTATTGAGCAGCTCTGTTTGTTTGGGAGGAGAGTTTGAACTTAGAATTCCTCTTTCTTTTTCTTTCTAAAAAGATATACTTTATTTTTTGAAGGCAGAATGAAAGAGAGACAGAGGAAGATCTTCATTCTGCTGGTTCACTCCTCAAATGGCCATATTGGCCAGGGCTGTACTAGGCTGAAGCCAGGAGCCTTAAACTCCATCTGGGTCTGATACATGCATGGCAGGGGACCAAGTGCTTGAGTCATTTTCCATTCCTTTCCCAGGTCCATTAGCATGGAGCTGGATCAGAAGCAAAGCAGCTAGTTCTCAAACTAGCATTGCAAATATGGGATGCTGGTATTGCAGAAAGTAGCTTGTGCTGTGCCATAATAACCCTCTCTTTTTTTAAAATATAATTCTAAAATGGAAAAGAGATAAATGTATAAGGGACTCAGCTTTTCTTTGAAAGGAGTTGACAAGAAATCCTCCAACACAGAAATCAAAAACATTCAAAACTTCAAATTATCAAACAGCAGTGTATAGAAGAAAAATAATAGGGAAAAGTAATGTCCACTGGAAAGTATTCAACATACTATTCCATTTAGAAAGTGAGTGGACATTTTTATGAAATGCTTTTCCACCTTCAAAATGGTTATTTATCAGAATATTCTTGCAGCGTAGTGGGTAAAGATACCACCTGCAATGTTGGCATCCCCTTTAGAGGCTAGTTTGTGTCCTGGATGCTCTACTTCCTATCCATCTACATGTTAATGTGCCTAGGTAAGTAGTGGAAGATGGCCCATGTGTTTGTAACCCTGCCACAAATGTGGGAGACCCAAAGTTCCTGACTCTTGGCTTCTTTCTGGTGTGGCCCATGTGCATTATGGCCATCTGGAAGTGAACCAGCAGATGGAAGATCGATCTCTCTCTCTCTCCTATTCTCTCTCTTTAACTGCTTTTCAAAGTTTGAATTTTCAAAGTCAGAGTTACACAGAGGAAGAGATAGAATCATGTCCTCTACTGGTGCACTCCTCAAATAGTTGCAATAGCCAGGGTGAAGCTAAGAGTTCAGGGACCCAAGCACTTGTACTATATTCCACTGATTTCCCAGACACAGTAACAGAGAGCTGGATTGTAACTGGGGTAGCATGGCCTTGAACTGACATAGCAGGTGGTGTTTTTACCTGTTGCGCCACAATGCTAGCCCCAATAAATCTGAAAATATACAAATTAAATTATTTTAGTTATTTTCATCCACTTGAAAGAATGTCAGTGAGAGCAGGAGAGAGTAATATCTTCCATTCTTTGATCTGCTGCCAAATTTCCTGAACCATTAGTAGTAGACCAGTCTGAAGCAAAATGTCTGCAATGATATCTAGACTTTTCAAGTGTATATTCAGGTATTTCAAGTGAGTGGCAGAGTTGCAAGCACTTGAAGCATTATTCACTGCCTACAAGGATATATGATCAGCAACCTATATTGGAAACAGAGTAGCCGAGGCTCAAACTAGCACAGTTATGGGAAGCAGCCATCTCAAGCAGTGGCTTGACCCACTTGCCCAACTTAAAAAATATTTAAGGTACTTAAGAATATTTTTGAATATTGGGAAAACTATTGTAAAACCACCAAATGATCATAAATGAATAACGTCTACTGATGTTAAATCCATGCAACTAAGATAACAATAAACTTGCTTTTCAACAAGCATTCCAAAAGAAACAGTTTGATATGGTTCATGAATTTGGTTACTTTTTTCTCATTGCAGTTGCTAACAGAAAGGATGACCTTATCAAAACCAACCAGAAAAGTGAAGAAGTAAATTTGAGGCAAGTTGTAATTACAAAAGTATCTCAACTCCCAACAGAGTTGAATTCAGAAAAAAAAAAGGAAAAGATTTAATTTAACCTCAGGACATATTTGTAACCTGATTATATAAAAGGAAAATAGTTTAGGAAAGAAACCTGAAGTATATGACTTATTGAATGTTCTACTCTCTAGGGGACCTGATGAAATACCAGCTGGAGAGAAACCTCATGGACCTAATGTCACTGGGAACTCACTCCAATACTTGGAACATCTTAGTCAACATCACCAGATTCAGAATATACAGCAGGCTTTTGAACACAGTGGCCAAGGGAAATGCTATAACAGGAAGAGACTATCCTTTGAATGTGAGAGGATTTGTGTGGAACACACCTCTAATAAATCAACTGTCATTTCAGGAAACAAAACTCTGGTTGAAAGTAAAAATTTCCATAAAAATGTCTATCTCAATAAATATCAAAAAGCAGGAGAGAATCTCCATGGATCTTTTGAGTATGATGAATCTCTGAATTACAAATCAGATCTTACAATGTATCAGAGAACACATATGGGGTAAACTGTCCATATATGTAAGCACTGTGGGAAGTCTTTCAGCTGTAAATCCTGCCTTACTATCCACCACAGAACTCACATAGGGGAAAATCTCATTGAGTGCATTGAATGTGGGAAAAGCATCTACCAGAAGTCAGACATCACTAAAGACCAGAGCATTGCCACATGGAAAATCTTCATGAATGTAGTGAGTGTGGAAAAGCCTTTTATCAGAAGTCATATCTCGTTAAACACCAGAGAATCCACACAGGAGAGAAACCTTATGAATGTAAGATATGTGGGAGAGCATTTTGCCAGAATTCACAACTTAGTACACATCAGAAAATTCACACAGGGGAGAAACCTTATGAGTGCAATGAATGTGGAAAAGCCTTTTATCGGAAATCACATCTCGTTATGCATCAGAGAACTCACACAGGGGAGAAACCTTACAAATGTAATGAGTGTGGAAAAGCCTTTTCCCAGAGTTCAGTCCTCAATAAACATCAGATAATTCACACAGCAGAGAAACCTTATAAGTGAAATATATGTGGAAAAGCCTTTCGTTGGAAGTCAAGTATCATTATACATCAGAAATTCACACAAGGGAGAAATCTCATGAATGCAATAATTGTGGAAAACCCTTTTGCCCCAGGACTGCCCTCATTAGCTGTAAGAGAAATCATACAAAGGAGAAACCATGATTGTAATGTGTTGAAAATCATTTTGCCACAGGTCTGCCCTCATTAACTATCAGAATTCACAGAAGAGAGAAACCTTATGAATGTAATATGTGTGGAAAAGCATTTTGCCAGAAGTCCCAACTAATTTTTCATTAGAGCATGCTCACAGGGGAAAAAAAAATCTTATAAATGCAAAGAATGTGTAGAAACATTTTTTCCAGAATTCAAGGCTCAGTAGTCATAAAATTCACACAGAAGGAAACATTTTCAATTGACTAAATATAAAAAGGACATATTTTCCAGGAATACATGTCAGCATACATGATAGAATTCACACAAAGAAGAAAACCATGATAATGGAATCTTTGTGAACAATTACTTTGACAGAAGTCTTCAGCACACATGAGAGAAATCACAGGAGAAAAGATACATGGATATAGATGAAAATTTTCTACCATAGGCCAGCTGTTATTATCAGAGAACTTACAGAGGAAAATCTCTACACATGCAATGGAAGTGGAAAATCCATTTACTCAAAGGCAATCTTCAGCAAAAATTACTGAATTTTGCAAAGAATGCACTGTATACATGTATTGGATGTGAAAAAATGTTTTTGCAAATCAAACTTCAACAGATTTTAGGGTTTTCACAGGAGGAAGTAACAAGGTATGAAGACCTGCTATATGTTCTTCAAAATCATCTTCCTTTGTGTCATACAACCTGCATTTTTAGCTTCCCTACTGTGAGTAGGACAGTGGAAATGAGCTCTGCTTTCACATGTGAGTGTTAATAAATATTGCCTATAATATTTACTTAAGGTGCCATTCTCATTTACAAAGTTACTTGATGCAGATGTTGTGTTGTCTGCCTATGATTTTCCCCCTACATTATTCTGGTACAGAACAGTGTTATGATCACAGTCACATCACCTCACTCATTTACGAGCCATATGCTCTATTTTTAGCTTTGGATAATGAGTATTTTGCCTAGGGTAGGGAGTGAGTCTCCTGTAGTCATGAGTCTCTGAAGCCAGCAGAATCCCAAACTTTACTTTGTGTATGTCTTCTAGACTGCTGCTTTTTCCAGCTTCTGTGCTTTTCCTATTTCTACTTTTTTATTTATGTTTAATTTTATTTGTTAAACAAGTTTCATGTATTTCATATTGTACATATTGAGAACTATAGTAGGATTCCCTGCATTCTCCCTCCCCCCACAGTACAATCCTTCCTGCCCCTGCATCTGAGATACCCAGTCTTAATTTTACCATAATCTATTTCCAGTATACTTAATGATCATATAGTTAACCCTGCTCTAGGTAAAGGCATTCAACATGTAGTATGGAGAGAGAGAAACAATACAGAACAGAAGTAAAGAAATACTGTTACTCAATGGAAGAGGCAGGGCTATAAACAGTCCTCAGACCTCAAAATGTCTGTTTCACTCCAATACATTATATTTCAACTATTCTATTAGTTACATTGGATCAGAAGAAACATATGGTATCTGTCTTTTTGAGGTTGGTTATTTCACTAATTATAATAGGTTCTAATTGCAACCATCTTGTTGTAAAAGACAGGATTTCACATTTTTTACAGTTAAGTAGTACTCCATAGTGTATATACACCATAATTTCTTTATACGCTCCACAGCTGATAAATATTTGGGTTGACTCTGTATCTCTGCTATTGTGAGTTGTGTTGCAGTGAATGTGGGGTTACCGATAACTATTTCAGATGCTGATTTCTTTGGTTTGAGTAAATTCCCAGAGAGGGATGTCTGGATCATATGTATGTCTATATTCAGCTTTCTGATGTTTCTACATACTGTTTTCCACAGTGGTTACACCAGTTTACATTCCCACCAAGCATCAATCAGGGTACCTTTTCCCCACATCCTCTGCAGCATTTGTCATTTGTTTATTTCAGTACTCAAACCATTCTAACTGGAGTGAGGTGAGACTCTGGTTTTGATTTGTATTTTCCTGTTGCTAGTGATCCTGAGCATTTTTCAAAAATGTGTTGGCCATTGGAATTTTCTCTCTTGAGAAACTCATTTTAAGTCTTTTGCCCATTTATTCATGGGATTGTTTGTTTTGTTGAATTTTTTTAGCTGTTCATAGATTCTGGATGTGAACCTTTTCTCAGTTGCATAATTTGCAAATATTTTCTCCCATTCTATGGGTTGTCTCTTCTGTTTGCTGAGTATTTCTTTTTTATTGCAGGAGCGTCTCAGCTTGATGTAATCCCAGTTGTCAATTGTGGCTTTGATTGCATATGTTTTGGGTGCCTTTTCCAAGCAGTCTTTGCCTGTGTCAATGTCTGTAGAGTTTTTCCCATGCTTTCTAATGATGTGGTGGTTTCCAGTCATAGATTTAGGTCTTTGATCCATTTTGAGTGGATTTTTGTTTAAGGTGTAAGATTGCATCTTTTTCAGATTTAGATATTAAGGTGATGCAGGTTTCATAAAAGGAGATTGGGAGGGTTCCTTTCAATTGTTTCGAATAGCTTGAGAAGAATTGAGATTAGTTCTGCTTTAATGTCTGGTAGAATTCAGTGGTGAAACCATCTGGTCTGGGCTTTTCTTTATTGGGAGAGTCTTTATTATTGATTCAGTTTCCATCTTGGTTATTGGTCTGTTTAGGTTTTCTATATCATCATGACTCAATTTTCATAGGTTGTATGTTTCTTGAGATCTATCAATTTCTTCTAGGTTTCCTAGTTTATTGCCATGCATAATAATTTCTGATGACACTTTTTGTTTCTGTGGTATCTGTTATATTTATTTTTTGTCTGATTTTGTTGATTTGGGTCTTTTCCTTTTGTTTATGGTTAGTTGTGCCAATGGTGTGCCAATTTTTGTTTATTTTTTTCAAAAAACAGCTCTTCATTTCACTGTGGTTTTTTTTTTTGTATTTTTTGTTTCAATTTATTGTTTTTCTAGTTTCTTGGGATGCATAGATAGCTCCTTTATATGGTACTTTTCCAGTTTCTCTATGTAGGCACCAACTGTTACACCAGTTATTACAAACTTTTCCTGTACTGCATATGTTTTGATATGTGTTGTCACCTTCATTTATGTCTAGAAATTTTATTTATTTTTTATTCTGTTACCCACTGTTCTTTCAGCAGCATGTTGTTCAGTCTCCATGTGTTCTATAGGAACACATCAACTAAATACCTTTGCAGTCCTGAGATTTTCCCAAAAAGAACATAAATGTGAGCAGCATTCAAATACCACCCAAAACTCCAACTCATTTGAATATCTGATTAGGAATTGCCTCAGAACCATCCCAACTCTAGAAAGGGAAAACACCCAATCTTGTATTGCAACAATCATTTTATTCTTAGGTTGCTCACCCTCTTATCTGGGAGTGTTCTGTTCCTTTTATCATTAATTTACTTCTGTTCCTGGAATTTCCTCACATTTGGCAATAGGAAATTGGAGTACAATCTAGTTTTGGAATTCCTTCTTTAATGTAGACACTAGTACAGAGCTTCAGGGTTGTCTGATATGGTAGCTTCAGATTCTGTTTCTCTTTTTCATTACTTTTTCATTATCCTCTCCCTTCCAGGTGACCCTCAGTCTTTTTTTTTTTTTTTTTAATCTCTGTGAATTTCCCAACTCACAAAGTTTTTTCTGGCTGGACTCTAACTGGATTTACATTCAATTCCTATCTCATCTTGTGCCCATTCAAAGTGGACACTTCAACCATATGGAAAGGCCATTTCTATTTCTAGGTGACTGGAATACAAATGTGATAACAGATGCTCTGTTGGCAGGTCCACCTTTTAAAATTTTTTTAAAGATTTATTTTATCTATTTGAAAGGCGGAGTTACAGAGAGGCAGAGGCAGAGAGAGAGAGAGAGAGTTCTTCCATCTGATGGTTCACTCCCCAGATTGCTGCAACAGCTACAACTGTGCCAATCTGAAGCCAGGAGCCAGGAGCTTCTTCCATGTCTCCCACATGGGTGCAGGGGCTCAAGCACTTGGGCCATCTTCTATTGCTTTCCTAGGCCATAGCAGAGAGCTGAATTGGAAGTGGGACATCTGGGACTTGAACCAGTCCCCATATGGGATTCTGGCACTATAGGTACCAACTTTATGCATTACACCACAATACCAGCCCCATCTCTACCTTTTTTATTTAGTATCCTGAGGACAGTCTTACAAGTGATTCTCTCCACTTAAAATGCAACAAGTTGAGACACTGCATTGGCCCTGGGCATAGCCCATGGGGATATTCTAATGCTATTCATGAACTGCAAACCTCAAATCCAAAAATAAACATTTTAAGGGAAACCTATGCTTGCATTGAAAATATAATCCAAATAATGGCAAAATTGTAATATTATTCCAGAAAGTGTTGACTTTAAGATCAAAGCATTTTTAGAAACAGAACATTCAGTATTGATAAAGGATTCAAACTATCAGGATGATTTAAGTATTATAAACAGTGTTTGCTGACCCAACTGAATCCTACCGTAAATAAAATTATTTTGGGTAGTGTAATGCGGTAGACAAATCATAGTGGGAGACACAGTCACCTCTCACTGTGGGATTTAGACAGATATCTAATATGTGGACATGCAACCATGTCAATTATTATCATTCAAAGTACAAGCTCCAAATATTTGCTTTTGTTGATTTTTTTTCCCACCAAGCCAGCAAAGTATAATCCATAAACACAGGAACTATCCCACATTAAAGGAGAAGTTAAATTCTAAGTACATGAGAGTTTGCCAGAGTCCATGCTCTGTACAACCCTGGGAATTATGTGTTGGGTCTATTACTGGTCCCATCCTGGAGCCTCTTTCCAGAAGAGTAGGCTTTTACTGGCTGCAGTAACCACACTTTTCTACATAGAGTCATCTTTGGGTAGTCAGGGGACTTCCAAATTCCAATGAGAATTAGCTCACAAAGGGATGGAAGTGTGTATTTGAGTGAACTTGGGAACATTCTAATAGAGTAAGAGTTAACTGTGTAGTCTCAATTCTGGGTCTCAGTTCTTGAGTCTGCAAACTTCAGGAATGAGATGAGGAAGATGGAAGAGTGAATGGAGATGCTATGATGTATTGTGCAAATTAAAGATTATTTTGATGCAAAGAAACATGAAACTACATGTAGTATTTCATAATATATTTTCACATATACTTATTAACTAGCCCCATATTTTTTTTTATTTGACAGAGTTACAGACAGTGAGAGAGACAGATAAAAAAGTCTTCCCTCTACTGGTTCACTCCCGAAATGGTCGCTACGGCCGGCGCTGCACTGATCCGAAGTCAGAAACCAGGTGCCTCTTCCTGGTCTCCCATGTGGGTACAGGGCCCAAACACTTGGGCCATCCTCCACTGCCCTCCTGGGCCACAGCAGAGAGCTGGACTGGAAGAGGAGCAACCGGGACTAAAACCGGTTCCCATATTGGATGCTGACACCACAGGCGGAGGATTAACCAAGTGAGCCATGGCACCGGCCCCTAACCCCATATATTTTTAACATTTTTGCATAGTAAACCTATATTTTTGTTCCATTTTCCACAAATGTATTTAACTATGGGGGATATAAACATTCTGTCCATAACCTTACAGGAAGATGCATTTGTTGTGATAATAGTTTGAGCCGTGGTGGGTGGATGTTCATGATGAAAAGCTACAATAGGACAGCAAGAGAAAAACAGGAAACATAAATTCCCAGGGAATGGAGTCACTCACAGACAAGAGGGAGTTGACTCCTGGTGAAAAAAATCTTCACTGGTCATTAGAAGGGCACAGATGGTAGCAACCTCTGCAAGGTTTATCTTTTAGGCATAGAAGGATTCCCATTTTGGGGGGAGTTCAAGAACTATCCCAAGACCTTAAACAATTTTGTAAAACTTAAGCAATATTGAATCTGGAAGACTGTTTTCCAACTTACTCTGAAATCCAGTGGCTTTAAGTGTACATAGCTAGTAAAGCCGATATTGATGTCTATGTTACTGTTGTAGCTCAGGACTCGAGAAGCCATAATGTGGAATTTTGGTCCAAAGATGTGATGAGAGGAATTCTATTGCAAATAGGTTTTAAAACACTTTTCCAGCCGGTGCCATGGCTCAGTAGGCTAATCCTCCACCTTGTGGCACCGGCACACCAGGTTCTAGTCCCGGTCGGGGCACCGGATTCTGTCCCGGTTGCCCCTCTTCCAGGCCAGCTCTCCACTATGGCCTGGGAGTGCAGTGGAGGACAGCCCAAGTCCTTGGGCCCTGCACCCACATGGGAGACCAGGAGAAGCACCTGGCTCCTGGCTTAAGATCAACGCGATGTGCCGGCCATAACACACCAGCTATGGCGGCCATTGAAGGGTGAACCAACAGCAAAAAGAAGACCTCTCTGTCTCACTCTCTCTCACTGTCCACTCTGCCTGTCAAAAAAAAAAAAAAAACTTTGCCAAGGGGCCGGTGCTGTGGCACAGTGGGTTAGAGCCTTGTCCTGAAGCGCTGGCATCCCATATGGGTACCTGTTCTAGTCCCATCTGCTCC